TTTAAAACCATTACCCCTTGTCCTGTCACAGCTGGCCCTACTAAAAAGATTTTCCCCATGTTGCGAGGTCGTTTCTTGAAGCTTCGCCAAGCAGCGTTTCTTCAGGGGCGTGCCGGGTTCTTTTGAAGCTATGCTGATCTTTGCTGCAGTCTTCTGGTGGGGGTGGCGGGGAGGAGAAGAAAAAAAATCTTTGGCGGGATTAGGCTTGGTAGAATATAAATGATCATTAAAAAATTTTTAGTGTTAATGTAAGTGCTTGTATTAACCAGCGGCCGAATCGCTTAATCAGACTAGTAGCAATTAAAATGGTAATTTTTCTGAACTAGATTCTGCTTGCAATTTTTACTCAAGTAAAACTCTTTGAAGTTAATTGGAATTTTGATTAAAGGCTCCTGGATCTGGGTCTCCGAATTTGTACTAAGGAAGGTTCAATATTTGCTTTGGTTTCCTGCATGCCGAGTTCACTGCTATGTATTAGTGCGGCTGCAGGATCAGTCATCACAAGAACAATGCCAATAAAGGTTGCTGTAATCTAGTTCTTGATATACTTTAGCAAAGGTCTTTCATCACGGAATGGCTTTGGAGGCACTGCTAGAACTGGCTGGAAGATCTGAAAAACTTGATTGCTAAAATTGTTTGTCTTAATTAATTTTAGTCCCTAAAATGGCTCAGTAACATTCACTTAATGGTAATTCGGAACTTGGGATGGGGTGGGAGGGAGGGAGACAACCAGGTTTTGGTTGACAATGAAAAAAAAAAACCAGACTAAACCCTACGCAAATTACATTATAACCATTAGCAGAATGAAAAGTAACTGTGGTGTAACAGTTTTCAAAAGTAACATTTTTGCCCAAAATGTTGCAAAAAACCCCACAAACAAACAAACCAACCTCCTGCAAAAAACCCAAACCAAACCAAAACCAAACCCTGACCGGGCTGTTGTGAGACAGTTAACCACGTTTTCTGAAAGGTGAAATGCGCCACAGGGCAGCAGGTTCTGGTTCCGAAGGCACCTGGGGAGCACTGGCGTCGTAGCAGTCCTGACCCACGCAGGTTTCACCGCAGCCAGCACAACCGCACCTGAGAGAAAAGCCCCCGGGAAGGAGGGAGGACCTGCACGGAAAGATCCCCCCGCAAACAGGGAAGGCATAATTCTGTTATGTCGTGGGCTTTGCCTGGAACTTTGCTGCATGCTGATGTCATCTTGTGGACAGATTTCACCACTCATCCTTCCAGGCAAAGGAGTGCTTTTTCGAAAGCTGCGAGATCAGTGGTGCAAATATTGCTCAAACTCCACTTGGGTCAGTTGCTGGTGTGGGAAAAGGGAAGAGCAGACAGGAAGAAGGGAATAATCGTGCAGAAATTACACTGGTGGTACCGAGCATGTGGGTTCTCGTTGTGTGCCTCTGTTTCTAAGAACAGTATTACAGCTCGCGATCAAAATGCAGGCTGATTCGTTTTGAGAACTCCTTTAGTATTCATTAACAACGCTTCTTTAATTTTTTTGGGGAAAAAAGGGGTATATATTCTTGACCTTAAAAAGACACATATTAAATAACAAGTTGTAAATATCCTATACTAAGAAGTGCAACAGTTTATCAGTAATGGACTCATCTGCAAGTTTGTTGTGACTGTGAGATTATTTCTTCTATTTTATCCTAAGGTGGTCATTGGGAGCACAGTTTCCTCCATTTTCCAGTTCAGTACCACAGTTATCAGATTCAAGTGCAAGGAAAGGGATTATAAACAGGTTGTTGAAATTCAGAGAAATGTTCTGATCTTCTTTTGTTTCTACTTTTTCTGAGGGTCTTAATTTTGAGAAACAAAGTAAATTTTATCTTAAATATTTTTCTCTATTCCCTCTAAAACATAAAGCATAATATGAGAAAGGAAGGATTAAAAAGATCAAAGCATTATTAGAATCATAGAATGTTATTGTCATTATTATTTTGCAGCGCAGTACAAAAACCTTGAATATTCGATGGTTATGCTGTTACAGAACCAAACCTGTGTTATAAACTGCTAGGTCTGCTTAATGGTTAGCCCAACGGTCACAACCCCCAACAGTGAACTTTGAGTTCTTTAAATGGCTGCAGCAAGAATAAGCACCCTGCCAGATACCGCATCCACACGTCTGGATCAGGAATGTTGTGTGAAAATGAACGCTTCCCAACTAAATGAGTAACATTAACTTGCTCTCGTTGTAGACTGCCTTTTGTACAATATTTGCCATTTGTACAGTCAGGTTCATCCTGCCTCGAACTTTGCATGCAAACAGCATCCAGTGACACGCAGTCATAGCAGAGGAGCAACTGAGCACAGCTGCGGGAGGAAAGGTAGAAATGTAGAAATAAATCCCTGCTCCCATGAAAAAAATGTCCTAGGAGATTTTAAAAAAAATAATCTGTTGTTTAATGCAGTGGTTGGGAAGCAAAAGTGCGTTTCTGCGTACCAGATCGGTGCGCAAAGGATCCTGGACACCTCTGTGCTGAATGCCTGCTCTCCATGTTCCAATTTGCTCCTGCCTTGCCCAAGCAAGCCCTGGCCACCTTCAAGAGGTGGCCTTAGGTCCTGACTGTTTGGAGATGTCAAATAGTTGCGTGTGTGCTATGCCCACAAAATCCCTGGAAGCAAAAGTGCGTTTCTGCGTACCAGATCGGTGCGCAAAGGATCCTGGACACCTCTGTGCTGAATGCCTGCTCTCCATGTTCCAATTTGCTCCTGCCTTGCCCAAGCAAGCCCTGGCCACCTTCAAGAGGTGGCCTTAGGTCCTGACTGTTTGGAGATGTCAAATAGTTGCGTGTGTGCTATGCCCACAAAATCCCTCAGCACTTCATGAGGAGGCACCGAGCCACGCCGGATTTCTTCTGCACCGGTCCGTGCCGCCTGCCTCGCAACTGCGGGTTTCGCACCCGCCGCCGATGACCCGCGATCG